TCAGTATATTATACTATTTAGATATGAAGATCAATTGTTACTTAATAAGCAAGTGGTTAGGTTAATAAAATTTTCATGTTTCTTTATTCAATTATTTCCAATGATCAGCAAGTGTCATTATATACATTAAATTATTAATTAGCTAGGTTTTAGACAAAGAATATCTAAGATTTGATAACTTTTTTGAAGTCAATCACCTATAATCTCACTATCAAGCAAATCTTCAGGTGATTCAATATTTTCTTCTGAATTGTTAGGAATTGAATAAAAATTCTTACTGAAAATTATAAATGTTAATTTTTCAATAAAATAATATTTATTTCTGATGTTCTAAAAAATTTAGACTTGTATAAAACTTATTTTTATGAAAATTCAGCCATTTTAATTATAAAAATTACATGCTTAAAAATTGAACAAATATAGGGGAGCTTGTGAAACATATTTGGTCAATAAAAATTAGAATTCTATTTTAATATAGAAAAATAAAAGCTGGTTCACTGGGTCATTTTGAAAATTTTTAGTAATAAGAACCTAAATATTTTGGTTGTGCAACCTACTTCTATGACTTACAGTTTTATGCCTGTTGAGTTCAGTCCTTCCAATAAATCTTTTGTCACATCCAGGCACATCACATCCATGATTTTTTATTCCAAGATGACGTTTTGTATGTACTTTTAATTCACCACTTTGACAAAATGCTTTTGTACATCCTGGATATTCACATTTGAAATTTTTTATTCCAAGATGACGTTTTGTATGTGCTTGTAATTCACCACTTTGACAAAATGCTTTTGCACATCCTGGATATTCACATTTGAAATTTTTTATTCCAAGGTGAGATTTTGTATGAATTGTTAAACTACATTTATGGAAAAATGCTTTGTCACATCCTGGGTATTCACATTTGAAATTTTTTATTCCAAAATGACATCTTGTATGAATTGTTAAACTACATTTATGGAAAAATGCTTTGTCACATCCTGGATATTCACAATTGAATTTTTTTACTCCAAGATGAGATCTTGCATGAGTTGTTAAGTGGCCTTTTTGATAAAATGCTTTGTCACATCCTGGATATTCACACTTGTAATCTTTTATTCCAAGATGATGTCTTGTATGAATTGTTAAATCTCCTTTTTGATAAAATGCTCTTGCACATCCTGGATATTCACATTTGAAATCTTTTATTCCAAGATGAGATCTTGTATGAGTTGTTAAATGGCCTTTTTGATAAAATGCTCTTGCACATCCTGGATATTCACACTTGAAATCTTTTATTCCAAGATGAGATCTTGTATGAATTGTTAAATCTCCTTTTTGATAAAATGCTCTTGCACATCCTGGATATTCACACTTGAATTTTTTTATTCCAAGATGAGATCTTGTATGTAGTAATAAATCACAATTATGAGTAAAAGCTTTTGCACATCCTGGATATTCACATTTGAAAACTTTTTCACCATGAATTTTACTGTGTCTGTTAAGTATATATCTAGTCTTGAAAGATTTACCACAGTTTAAAGCTGTACAAAAAAATCCATTATCAATTTCACCATCATCTTCATCTTTACTATTTCCATCTTGATATTCACTTACATTTTTATTATTATGATAATTTTCTAGGAAATTTTTGATTTTATCATCATTATTATTAATATATACCCAACAATCTGTTAAAACAACCAAATATAAATATAAATAAATAAAAATAATATGAACCAATTTTATATTTTTTAATAATTATAATACCATTTATAATCTTTTTATTGTTATTCATTTTTGAAATATGCTTTTTAAAATTTTTTAAAAAAAAAGATTTATAAATGATCAAGTATGATTGGATGAATTATTTTTTTGTACATCACATTGTGAGTTGGGGAATTATTCGTTTTATTATTATTCATAATGAAAGTTTATTCGAATAAAATAATAATAATAATTCGAATAACCCAATCCAATTAAAATTTTTTCTTTATCAATCTACTTTTCCTTAGTCCTTGAATATAGTATTTTCCTTAAGTCATAGTAATATAGATTATAAATATAATAAACCTGTATTTTATAAAATAAATAAACTAGTAATTTGAATAAAACGGATAATTTGAATAAAATGAATTGAATAGATTTGAATAGAAACCTTAGTCCGAATCTCGAAGATGATAATTTATTTATTTAATGCCAATTATGTTAATACAATTTCTTTCGATTTTATTCATACTAAATTGTAACAGCAATTTCCGCAAATGTATATTTATGCTTTACTCTCAAAACTATCTGTTACTATCGTTAAACAATTCCTTGCTAAGCAATACTAAACAAGATCTTCTTTAAATTTTTCACTATATCCTAATCACATTTTTTGGTGGGTGTTCTTCTTATCTGTTATTCCCTACTCAAGTCAGTTACGTTTCCAAACTATATATATATCCTAATACTGAAAAATGACCTTTACGCACAGAAGGTTTACCACCAATTGTTATCTATTAAATACACTAAAAAGAATGATAAATTTTGTTCGTCATATTGTTTAATTAATATTAAAAAACCCCCACCAAGATACATCACCACCACTGAAAAAATCTAATCCTCTCGTTGAAGAAATAATTCCATTTAAAAATGTCAAGGTTATTTGGATTAGACTAGAAAATTGACTTCATTAAAATAGATTTTCTTTATTGTTGAAGTAATCAACCAAGTCTTTTCTTAAAGATATGATGCTGTAAAAAACAGGCAATTTTCAAAATTATTTAAACCAATCCCGATTAGTGAGTTTAATAAACGAGTTAGAAAGGTTAAACAAGAAATAAAATTGTGCCGACAATTAAGAGTACCTTAACCAAAATTATCAAAACAATCAAACTATGTCATCTATTAAATCAGACGCGTTTAAATGACCAATTTATTGAGTTTACATATGTATTAGTTAATTAGCAGGCCCAAGAAAGCTCTATTGTATGTGACTGCCAAGTTGAATTATAAAACATATCAATTGCGAATCCCAAACACACATTTAAAAAAAATCATTAATAGTGCAAAATAGCCGAGGAGAAATTTATCTTTATTAATTAAAAATATTTACAATAAAGTTTTGTGTATTTGACATACTAAAATGAATATTTCATCATCGATTGCAATAACAAGGATTAATATCATTAATATTAGAGTAAAAACATAATCCCAAAAAATAAACAACTTCTCGTGGTATAATATGAATTGTAATGTCTCCTTCTGCCAAATTTTTACATGAAAAATATCGTTGTGATACTGGAAGTTACACCTTGATAGAAATATATGATAAACAATCACAACTACTCTCGATATGTTCTTTAAGTTTGCAACTTGATAATTGACTCAAGTGAAATAATTTGACCATGTTTGCAAATAACTTTTTTAGCACTGACAAATTCTTAAAAGTTAGGGCGTGTAGTAAGATGTTGTTGGCTTGAATCATAAGGAATCCTTTTGCTATTTTTACTCTCTTTTTTTTTTTGGTATTCCTTATGGTTGCTTTCCAAAACTTCTCCAGAAACTAATCGGCAGAGTTTCGCGTTTGGGGGTTTTGGCAAATAGCAGAGTTTCAGTAAGGCACACACTAATTGTACATTAGAGTCTTGGCAAAATTTCGGCAGTTACTAAAAAGTCTCGGCAAGCAACCTTAGTATATCCAGATAGCAAGATAATAAGAGGTAAAATTTTTTTTTATTAATAGTGCGAATTATAGTGTAACCGACTGGGGCGTGCGACATTCTAAGAAAATCAAAATTAATGTCGTATATATATATATCTGTAGTTTGGTGTTTTAATTGGAGGTGGTGGTGGATGCTCACGCACCCCTTTGGATATAATAACAATAATAGGACATTTTTTTAGATCCAAAGGCACCATACAAATAAATTTAACTTTTCAGGTCTTTCTGATTATTGTGGCATCAAAGGTTATTTTATTTGATGTGTGTGAATATACTAATATTTTATAAATTGTAAAGGCTCAGTAACCAAGCAAGTTGTGTATACAATATTTCCGCGATTGTATTACTAAACACTCGATTAACAGCCTGTCAGAGTGTTTTTTTATTTATAAAGGTTCAAGGTTGTCAATTTTATTGGTTTTACTATTTTGGAGGTGTCACAAAATTTTCAAATAACGGTTAAAAAATCCGCATATTAATCGGTCGCGTTTGCTCCGTTGACAATCACTTTGTAGACACACATTTGTTGACAGTTCATTTCGTCGATAAACACTTCACTGACAGTTAGCTTACATGTGGTGATAGTGATGATGATGATTGATTGTTTTGGTGATTATTATAATAAATGATGATAATTAGTGTAAATCTGACAAATTGACAATATGTTAATGAATAGTATTAAGATTTCGTTTTGAACCAAAACTCAGGAAATATTTATTTTTCTGGTAGTGATTTTTTTTAAGATGCATAAAATTCAGTCATTAATATGCTTGCAAATTAATGAGTATTAAATTTTCTTTTTATCTAAATTTCTGATGCTTATTAATCATGAATCCTGGATTAACAACTAAATAAATTATTAATAATTATAATCAATGCGTATGTTACGCTAAAATCATATGATATATTAATACGAAAATTTATTAATGATGATGTTTATTATTTTTGGTGATCAACCATTGTGACCTTCCTATTACTATATTCCTACTATGTGCTAAGTTGATTTCCTACAGTTTTATTTGGTATACTGGATATAAAATAAAAATTTTATTTAAAATGTAAATCGTTTGTTTTTTTACAACCTGATATAAATTGCATGTTTACTAGAAAATTGAGCTTTAATAATAACATACATGTTTGCCTACTAATATTCTGTAACAAATAAAATAAAATAAATAAGCTATTGGAAGCAAAAAAATGATTTTGTCTCGATAGAAGTAATATCAAAAAGAGGCAAATAAAAAGATACGAAATAGTAAATATGTATATTTTATTCACAAAATTGGAAAGATCATTAACTGTATCACTAGGACTAACAACTACAATTATATTTACGTCTTAACCTAATGAAATCTTGTTCCAATTCAGTATATTGTTGATTCATCGTCATAATACAATCTTTAATCATCGACAAACGACCAGAAATTCTTAAAATTAAAGGGTCATCATCATTGCTGTAAATTATTGGTGATGACACGAACGAATTATAAAGAGGTTGTTGTTGTTGTTGTTGTTGAGGCAAAGCTTGGGTTGTCATCATTGCGTTGTTATTGTTTTGGTTATACTGTCCATTACTTTGATTTTGTTGGTGGACGTAATTTTGAGCTTGCTGAATTTGCTGGCCATAACTTTGTTGAGACAGATTTTGAGGTTGTCGCTGAAAAAGATTTTGATCGGAATTTTGAAGAACTTGATCGAAAGTTGTAATTTGTTGAAATGGTTGACCATCTTGACTTTGGTGTTGTTGATAATTAAAAGTCATTTTGTTTTATTTGTTTTTTATAAAGATTTAAAAAAAAAGAAAAAAACAGAAAATGATAAAACCAACACATTTATATACAATAAAAAACCTTTATTGTTAATAAGGTTCCACTACTTTTTTAGTAGTTGTAAAAACAAACTTGCTTAAACAAGTTACATCAGCATAAATATTGTTCCTAACATCATCTCGTGTAACAAAATTTTTTATAATATATATAATTAATATTTACTACTTTTGTCAAAAAGGCTTGATCAACAATATCAGTCACAGGACCAGAGAGTTAATTTTTGATGATCTGCATCATAGTAAAATTCGAATTTATGTAGTAAAATTTTACAATCAAGTGACTTCTAATCCCCAAATACCCTTGCTGTGTAGCAACCACCGCCAAATTTTGAGATATAACTTTTTTATCATATGTATCTTCTTTAAGAAAATTTTTAAAGCAGGTTGTTAATAAAACCGAAAATAATCTGACCTTCAAAGTCAAATTTTGCCTTTATATTCATATATGTAAAAATTTGTTTGGAGCGTCCAATTGCAAGTACAAGTAGAAATAGATGTAAATAATTATATTATTATGAACATTTATATACAGTTTCGTTCGCATAGATGTCTTTTGTAGTCTTTTAAATAAATAAATAGATATTAAAATTTTTCTTTTGCAATTTATTCCTACGTAAATAATAGAACTATTAGATAATGTGAGCAAGCAACAATGATACCCCAATTGCCAAAAAAGGAGAATAAAAATGTAAAGAGACATTTAATAATATTATTAAAAGCGTCAACGAATTGTGATTTAAAATCAATATTAAATAACATCACTAAATATTAACTATAAATAAATTTTGAACATGATGCACAATAGAATCCAGGCTTTTTTTTGAATTTAAGATCACTCGATTTGATAGGTACTTAGTGAGATACAAAAATATATGGTAATAGATAAAGAAATATTGCAATTTTTTTGAATTTTGAAAAATCTACTAAATACTTGTATGTCATTTTCATTTTTACATCAATTAAAGCATTAAACTCGCCCATCATATAACTATTAAAAAATTCAAGTGTATTTTACAAACTTTCTTTCCAAGCTTCATAGGTTTTTTCTAGTGTTGGTTAATAAGTTTTAGAGAGATTCACAAAAAAACAGTTTATAAACCAAAGTATATTGAAGACAGTAATGGCAATATGTAATATTTACCTTTGTATATATTTTTATATTATTAATCAATATTATTTCTATATTTGGGAATGTAATGATTAAATTAAAAGGTATTTACTTATTAGTGATTCTGACTTTATCAAATATTGGATCTGATAGTGATGCTATTACATTGCACAATTTAATACATGCCGAGCTATAATTTATGTATACCAATTCACAAAAAATACAAATAACATTAATTATCATAAGAAAATAATCAATAACCAGAATCCTGAATCATTTTTTAATTATAGAAATTTAAAATGACAAAACGTCCCACTTTAATTGTGGAATCTTTAGGTGAAATAAGGCCACATTCACGTTACGGGCTAAATCAAGAGAATGGTGAGTAAAAATGAGATACAACTAAAGTGATTTACTACCTATATTGAGGTCTTTGAAGCATTGTAATTTAGTAATTTATAATTTATTATCATCATAATTATCATACATTTGCTTTGGTGTTATTAACTCTATTAAATCTATTATATTTAAATACAATAGTTTAAAGAAAGATAATAAATATAACGGTTGATTTATAATGAACAGGTATAAGGTTTTGAATAATATAATTAGAATTATTATTTTAAAATCATCAATTATCTAAAACATATTAATGGAGTATAAATGTATTGAATTTAATACGATAATGTTTTTTTAAAAAGAATTGTCACGCGACCATTATTATTATTATTATTATTATTAAATTCTTTCTTTGTACAGTATGTTAGTTATTGTTTGATACTAAATAAAATAAAATTTATTATTATTTATTTGTAAAGTATAAATTTTAAAACAATAATTTTTAATTTTAATTTATGAATTATTGATCAAAAATTAATGTTCATAGTAAAAAATGCTTCTTTTATAAACCCGTCAGCTAGAATTTGAGATAAATGCCATGTAATGAGGAAAAAAATTAGATGGTCAGTGTCCTCCTTTAACAGTGGAGATAATACTTCGCATACATACGAGCCTTCATTTATTGGATTGATGTATGCTTTGTATTTTGGTGATGCCCACACGTCAGCTCTAAAAAAAAAATTTTATTAGTTTCTATTATAGTCCAAAAAAAAAAAAATCAGTAAATAATTTCATTATTTACACTTAATTTTCTGGTAGTTTTAGATCCAAGATTACATAAACGACTATCGTCTTTTCCTCAAATTCCGTCAACCAATTTAGAACTTTATCAGATCTTGTAATAGGTTAATAAGTTAACCTGCAAATATTCTAGAATTTGCTTTGTTATTCACAATCAGAATTCCAAATTCTGTATAATTGTGACACTCTGGTAGGTGCAGGTAATGTATTCTGAAGTTTTATCTTTCCTATTGTTAAAGATGGGAACTGCAATTAGCCGCAATTCAATTTTCATATGTTGTAACTAGTTCCAATTAATTGAGAAGCCATCTTTTCCTGTCGTACGAAATCATCTTAGGTACTTTTTGTTCCTCGATGGCAAATTTTTTGATTGATTTCTGGAAAAATTTGCGATCTCCTTCAAGCAAATTGTTTAAAATTAATATTAATATCCAGTATTCCGGAACATAATGGATGATCGTATCCAAGATTTTCTACATGACATTTTGAAGTTCATTTTTTCCACATAGCCTTTTCACGTCCCATCTATAATGTTGTTATATTTGTTATTACAGTGAATATGTATAAAAAAAACAATAATATAATTGCACAGATCGGAAAGGCTTCCATTTTTATTTATTTTTTTAATGCCAAACTGGCAAGTAAATTTTAACCTCAGTGGAATTCGCATATCACGTGTATCACAACGAGCTACTTGTAGATGGCCTATAGCGATTTCATGTACACTTCACCAATTGTGTATGCATATGTTTCAACCACTGAAGTCATTGCGAATACGCAGTAGAGAAGCTAAAACATCATGTCAATATAACAATTACTAAAATTACGTGACTTACTCGTTGGTCCAAAGCATCCCTCTGGCCAAATTTGAGAAGTCTATTTTGCCGTCCGATATCGCTGGATACCATATCATTAAGTATTGTTGTGAAATTCTCCATTTCACAATCACCAGTTCGCAAACCCGATTCTATCCGCTTGTACAATGCACCTGCGATATTCACGCCAGATTGTATGAAATGTAGGTCTTAATTAAAGAATAGAAAGGTATTATTTTTTGCATAACGTGTATCAACCGACATCTTGTATTGTGTAAACAATGTAAATGTCAATCGTTACTACTGTACTATTACAATATTTATTGTTACATTATTATTTGTCAAAACTAATTTTTATTGGCTGATCCAAATTTGGAAAGCATTTTTTAGAAAACGAGAATATTAATGTCAAAAAATAGCTTTTACTAATAATGATGTACAACAACAAAGTGTTCACTCAGTTCAAAAAGTAACTTCTACTAATGATGTATGACGAAACTTTTGACTTTAGTCATTGACGTAACTAAAGTATTGACTAAAGGTAGTTTCTCACCAGGCCATTTTGACAGTAAAAACACTTGACGTGAATTAAAATGCATGATACAAGTAAAAACACTTGATATAATGGTAATTTGGGATCTGAGGTAAAGGCTCCATAGGTTTTTGGTCATTTCAATTGATCCAAAACATCAGAGCAAGACGAAGACCTAATGGTAGGCAGCGGTAGACACCACGAAAAAACGTCTAAAGCGAAACACAATTTCCTTTCAGTCAAGTAACTGCTCCGCTCAACCCTGACGTTTTGAATAAAATAGATAATTTTTTGCTTGCCAAATAAATATTTTTGTTCAAATTTCAATTTTAACAAATTAATTTCAAGCCAGCGTACTAAAAAAAAAAAAAAGACTTCATCACAAAGTTTTACCTTTTGATTTTGACCCCAGCAATTCAGTTTATTAAAGTTGAGCAACAAAATGTTTAGAAGATTCGTGATTCGTTATCGTAATTGCACCGGATTTACCGTCTCAAGTTTTTAACGAGATTTCTTTATAACAGAATGTTTCCCGTGCATTCAAATTTGGGTAAAAAAATAATATTACACAAAATATAAAAATTACACAAAATTATATTTAGAAAGGAACCGTATGTAACACGGCAACTTTTTCAAGTCGAATTTTATATATTTTTGTATAATGTCATATAGTAAACTATTATCATCGTTATCACGAGAAAGAAAGGATTTTGTATATAAAATTTATAATGGAATGCATGATAATGCTAATGTCAATTCTGAAAGAGAAAGTAGAAAAGATTTTTTTTTTTCATTAGTCAAGGAAAACAAGGAGCTTTCTGGAAATGAAAAAGAATATTGTAAAGAAAGGTTTATTTATGAGTTTGAATTAAGAAATGCAAGAGATAA